TCGTGCCATGGTTTTTATCCATGGCTAGTCTTGCTCAGCCAGCTAGCTGCTGGACTGACCGCGCACGCCGCCTGGCTTACAGCCTGTGGCGAGGAGGGCACACTACTGGCGGTGCTTCTGTACAGCATTGGTCATCTGGGCTGGTCGCCCGGTGACCGTTCTCAGGCGCTGTCGTGCTGGCACTCGGCGCTGCCAGGGCCTCCTGGTTGCTCCTGCCTTTCTCCTGTGGTCGCTCCCAGGGCACTGTGCGGCTGAGAGCTTCCTCTCTGCGCCTGGGGTCGGCCTTGCGGGCGTTCTCCGCGCGTTTGCTGCACCTGGCTGCCCGCGTTCGGCCTTCTTCGCTCGACGGGCCCTGGGGTACCCTCTGGGCTCCTCGGGCGGCGTCTGCCGCGCCCTGCCACCCCCGAGGCCGGCCCGTCCAGGGCGGTTCCGCCCGCCGGGCCCTCCTTCCCTCACCTGCTGGGCGCTGCCGACTGGCAAACACGCCCCCTGCCTCCGCTCCTGCCCCATCCCCCCTCCCCGCCGCCGCCGCCTCCCCCCGCTCGCCCCCCCGTCCCCCCCCCCCCCCCCACCACTCGCCCCGACACGCCTCGGCCCCGCACCCCCCCCGCTCCCGGCGCGAGACAGAGAGTGAACTGCTGCTCCGGCGGCTGCAGTCCCGGGTGCCCCCGGCGGCGGCGGGTCGGAGCGCACACGGGAGCACTCTGAGAGAGCCGCGGGTGCTCCCTCCCCGCGCTCCGTCCCGCCTCCCCCCGAGCTGGTTCGGCCACGTGGAGCGTCCCAGGAAGGGCCTTGCCTTCGAGGATCGAACGAGTTGCCACCTCTTCCGTGGCGGAGGGCGGCGGATGGTCGGCGGAAGGCGGCGGAAGTAAGACGGCGGCAGCCCCGCCGGCGGAAGCAACAGTCGACTCCCCAAAAGATGACAATATTTGTGGGTTCAGGGTTTCGGGAAACGGCCACATGTTGTCCATGCAGTTGCGGACGGTGTTGCCGGTCGCACGGCCAAGGAGGGGTCGTGGGCGTCGGCCGCAGCTCCATGCAAGCGGGCTGGGCCCGCGACAGTCCAAGCGCTTGCAGTGCCAGTCCGTGTCGTCACCGGTTATCCGTGGACTTAGGTGGCCTTTGGGGCTAAAGGGCGCATTCGGCTCGGTGGCCGACTTGGCAGCCGCCAGTGGGCTCAGTGGAGCGGGCGCGCCCACGGGATCGTGAAGTGGGGCGCAGAGCTCACGGCGTAGCACGGCATCGCCGACACCTCTGATGGCGGCGCCGTCAGCGGCACCGTCGACGTCCCAAGTTCCTTCAAGGCAAAAGTCGAGGTGTCGCCAAGGGCCATCAGGTTCGACAGGGCAGAGCCCGATTTTGACAAAGGCGCGGAGACCGACTGGTGGCGCTGTGGTGGACGGCTCGGGGAGAGATGTTGCGACAGACTGTGTTTCGTCGTCGTCGCTTGCCTCCACCACCGCAGTGCTACAGAAGGCGCATCTATGCAGAGCCATGCTGCAAGCCCCGAGAGCGGCCAAGAGCGCGTGAGACAGCCCAGAAATCGGGGGTATGAGAACGTTTAAGAGCATTGGGGATGTTCCATCCTGGGAGCCCGAAGGTCTCTGAGGACAGCCCATCCATTACATACGGCACGGTGGCCCACCGGTGAATGTGCGCGACGGATGACTGCATAGCCAACCCCAGGTCACCCGCGCGGACCGCGAGGACAACCTTGTTTCGGGCTTCGCGGCCTGTACTGGAGGGGCACTCTTCTTCAGAGTCCTCCGAGGGATCAGCGCGAGAGCGCGAAGATAACGGCTCTCCTTGACCCGCGCGCTGAGAAGCCTTGAAGGCTGGTGGCCTACCCTACCTCCGACCAGTGTGGTGCCGTCTGCGAAAGCACGCGCCAATCTAAACGCGCCGATTTCTCCGCGCGTCGCGAAGCGCGAGAGTAGGGGGCCTGCCCTACCATTGACGGCGTCGTCATCCCTTCTTCTTGTTGCAACGCCTAACTCTGATTGCAACCATCAATGTTTTTCACGACGCTTCGCTGCATGGTGCAGGCCATGCTTTTTGTTCGTGTCTCGAGACAGCCAGGACCCTCCAGATAGAGGAGCGGTTGCCTTCCTTCCAACCCGTTCCTCATAGGAGTGTTCGGGCCGCGCCAGCCGACCGTGTCATGCGTGAACCAGGTCCCATGTTGGTCTTCAGGTCCCACGGTCGGGAATTTTTGGACAGCGTGTCGCTCCGCAAGGCCGTTCTGGCCCGTCCGGCTGCGTCGCGACGCTCGATCCACCTCGCGGTCCCCAGGCGTCAACGTCCCGAGCCTTCCGGAGCTTCCCGCCCCCTGGAGCAGAACGACATGCCATCCGCTTGCAGCGCATCGCGTTGTCGCCGAAGCCGCCGCCGCGACACGCTCTATGCAGACAGCTCGGACTGGGGAGTCCACCTCCGACGAGCGTGTTACGGCGTTCGCGGAAGTCTTCGCCGTGGTCCTGTGGTGCCGTCCGCTGCTCCTGCGCGTGCGCGCTGGCGAGAGGGAGGGCCGTGCCATGGCTGCTTTTGCCCAGGCCAGTCTGAGGAGCCGGCGAGACTGGCGAAAGCTCACACGTGCCACCTTGGCAAAAATGCCATATCATATCACGCAGATCAGAGGTCTGAGATCATCAATTGTTGAATTGTGCCGTTTGCTGCTCGACGCCGGCAGGTTGCCAGCGTCTGTTGCGCTTTGCCTGCGCCGGCGGTTGCTGCCGAGAAGCACCGCGTCGGGAGCGTGCCAGCCAGCCGTGCGTTCGCTCCCCCTCTTTCTCGTCGTCGTCCTCCTCGTTCTCGTCGCCTCTTCATCCTCTCTGTTTTCGCCGTCCTCGTCATCCCCTTCGTTCTCGCCCTCCTCCTCGTTCTCCTCCTCCTCCTCCTCCTCTTCCTCGCTCCCGTCCTCTCTGTGTATCAGCGTCACCGTCGCCACCCGTCTCTTCCTGGCACGCTTCCTCCGCCGTTTCCTCGTGATCCGGTGTTTGCTTCTCATCTTCCTCTTAGGTATTTCTCTGGTATTCGTCACCATCATTGTCATCCCCTCCTTCCGCTTCGCTCTCCTCCCTGTCCGCCTGTCCGCATTGTTATTGTGTTTTTTCCTCGCGCCTTATCCCTCTTCCCTCTCGTCCTTCCTGCTTTGCCAGCCCTTCTCCCTCCCTCTTCATCATTATCATCTTATCCCGTTATTCATTCTCATCCTCATGCCCCTTTTTCCTTCATGATTTGTCTTGTTGCTCTTCCTCATTTGCATCCTCCATCTTGCGCCTCCTCCGTCCTCCCTCCTACCTCATCACCCCGCCCTTCCTCCACCATCCTTTCTTCCATCATCTTTCTCCTCCTCCTCCGCCGCCAATTCTTCGCCCCCCGAGTCAAGGCCTCCTCTTCCTCCCGTTCATTATCTGCCTGCTCTTCTCCGCCCACCCGAAAACCTCGGGAGACTTGAAAACCACCAGGAAAAATAGTTTCCTGGCCACCTCACGAGAATTTTCCAACACTTCTCGCTAGACCTCCCTTTGATCTTCCTCGTCCCCCGCCTCCTCCTTCTCCTCCTCCTCCTTCTCCTCCTTATCATCATCATCATCATCATCATCATCATCATCATCATCATCATCATCATCATCATCATCATCATCATCATCAGCATCAGCATCAGCATCAGCATCATCATCATCATCATCATCATCATCATCATCATCATCATCATCATCATCATCATCATCTTCATTGTCTCCCCCAATGTTCCTGGGAACTCTCCTGATGTTCCAGATCCCCTGAGTCTTCTTCGGATGAGCTCCCCAAGCCTCCCAATACGTCCCGTTCCCTGATCCCCCTTCACCTCTTCTCCCCCTTCGCGAGCTGCTGCTGGAGCTCCCGAAGGGCTACACCTGCTCCGTCGTCGGCAACGGCATGGCAGACCCACACGGGACGCAGGCGGCCAGGAGATGAGGAAGATGCTGCGCATCGGGGATCGAGGATCGAGGATCGAGGATCGAGGATCGATCGAGGATCCAGGATCCAGGATCGGAGGAGGACGACGAGGACGAGGGGAGGAGGGGAGAGGAGCAGCGGCCACACGGGCCGAGGAGGAGGAGATGAGGAGAGCCGGGAGGAGTGGCAGGACGAGGGAGGAGGGGGCGGATGTTCTGTCGGGCCTGTCCCTCTACAGGAGGAATCTCAAAGTAGTACCACAATAGCCTGGAGACGATTTGTTACCTAACAGCGAAGACTGATAGGTTTCTAGTGGGATCAAAAGAGAGCAGCAGATCACTCCACAGGGGGGTCCGGGCAGGTGTTGGGAGTTGCCGGGCGGCAGGTGCCGGGCTCGTTTTTCACCAACAGTCACACACTTCGTGCTCTTCGACTTCCCAGAACTCCATTCCCAGGCCTCATTCTGAATACCCGGATGCAACAGTCACACACTTCGTGCTCTTCGAGATCCCAGAACGCCATTCCCGGGCCACATTTGGATAACCGGATGCAACAGTCACACACTTCGTGCTCTTCGAGTTCCCAGAACTCCATTCCCGGGCCACATTTTGGATGCCCGGAGCCAACTGTAGGCCACTTCGTGCTCTTCGATTTCCCAGAACTCCATTCCCGGGCCACATTTTGGATGCCCGGAGCCAACTGTAGGCCACTTCGTGCTCTTCGAGTTCCCAGAACTCCATTCCCGGGCCACATTTTGAATGCCCGGAGCCAACTGTAGGCCACTTCGTGCTCTTCGAGTTCCCAGAACTCCATTAGGCCACTTCGTGCTCTTCGAGTTCCCAGAACTCCATTCCCGGGCCACATTTTGAATGCCCGTAGCCAACTGTAGGCAACTTCGTGCTCTTCGACTTCCCAGAACTCCCATTCCTGGGCCACATTTTCAGCAGGGGCAAGAGCACGACGAGGAGGAGGACGAGCAAGACCAGGAGGACGAGGACGAGCAGGAGCAGGACGAGGAGCAGGAGGAGCAGGAGAAGAAGGACGAGCAGGAGGAGGAGGAGGACGAGCAGGAGGAGGAGGACGACCAGGAGGAGGAGGACGACCAGGGAGGAGGAGGAGGAGGAGGAGGAGGGGAGGGGGAGGAGTACCAGGAGGAGGAGGAGGAGGAGGAGGAGGAGGAGGAGGAGGAGGAAGAGGAGGAGGAGGAGGAGGAGGACGAGGACGAGGAGGAGGAGGAGGAGGGGGGGGGGAGAGTACCAGGAGGAGGAGAACGAGGACCACCGAGGAGGAGGAGGAGGAGGAGGAGAGGAGGAGGACCAGGAGGAGGAGAACGAGGACCACCAGGAGGAGGAGAGGAGGAGGAGGAGAGGAGGAGGAGGAGGAGGAGGAGGGGGGGGGGAGGCACCAGGAGGAGGAGAACGAGGACCACCAGGAGGAGGAGGAGGAGGAGGAGGAGGAGGAGAGCACCAGGAGGAGGAGGACGAGCAAGACGAGGAGGGGAGGACGAGAACGAGCAGGAGGAAAGAGGAGGAGGAGGAGGAGGGAGGAGGAGGAGCAGGAGAAAGAGGAGGGAGGAGGCAGGCTGAGGCTGAGGCTGTGACTGCGACTGCCGTTGCCGCTGCGACTGTCATCGCGAATGCGACTACGACTGCGAGAACAGCAGAATTCGACAACTGGATTTTCATCTGAATCTTAAGGGGAATGCTTTCAGATATGCTTCTACACATCGCTGTTAGGTTGCTTTGCCGGGATAATCTAATGTTTTTGCAGATGTTTGTTACCTAACAGCGAAGACTGATAGGTTTCTAGTGGGATCAAAAGAGAGCAGCAGATCACTCCACAGGGGGGTCCGGGCAGGTGTTGGGAGTTGCCGGGCGGCAGGTGCCGGGCTCGTTTTTCACCAACAGTCACACACTTCGTGCTCTTCGACTTCCCAGAACTCCATTCCCAGGCCACATTCTCAATACCCGGATGCAACAGTCACACACTTCGTGCTCTTCGAGATCCCAGAACGCCATTCCCGGGCCACATTTAGAATAACCGGATGCAACAGTCACACACTTCGTGCTCTTCGAGTTCCCAGAACGCCATTCCCGGGCCACATTTGGAGGGCCGGATGCAACAGTCACACACTTCGTGCTCTTCGAGTTCCCAGAACTCCATTCCCGGGCACATTTTGGATGCCCGGAGCCAACTGTACCACTTCGTGCTCTTCGAGTTCCCAGAACTCCATTCCCGGGCCACATTTTGAATGCCCGGAGCCAACTGTAGGCCACTTCGTGTCTTCGAGTTCCCAGAACTCCATTCCTGGGCATGATTTTGAATGCCCGGAGCCAACTGTAGGCCACTTCGTGGTGTTCGAGTTCCCAGAACTCCATTCCTGGGCATGATTTTGAATGCCCGGAGCCAACTGTAGGCCATTTCGTGTTCTTCGAGTTCCCAGAACTCCATTCCCGGGCCACACTTTGAATGCTGAGGCAGGCTGATGCTGAGGCTGAGGCAGGCTGAGGCTGAAGGCAGACTGAAGCTGAGGACGAGGCTGAAGGCAGACTGAGGCTGAGGCTGAAGCAGGCTGAGGCTGAGGCTGAGGCAGGCTGAGGCTGAGGCTGAGGCAGGCTGATGCTGAGGCAGGCTGAGGCTGAGGCTGAGGCTGATGCAGGCTGAGGCTGAGGCAGGCTGAGGCTGAGGCCGAGGCTGAAGGCAGACTGAGGCTGAGGCTGAAGCAGGCTGAGGCTGAGGCTGAGGCAGGCTGAGGCTGAGGCTGAGGCAGGCTGATGCTGCAGGCTGAGGCTGAGGCTGAGGCTGAGGCTGAGGCTGATGCAGGCTGAGGCTGAGGCAGGCTGAGGCTGAGGCCGAGGCTGAAGGCAGACTGAGGCTGAGGCTGAAAGCAGGCTGAGGCTGAGGCTGAGGCAGGCTGAGGCTGAGGCTGAGGCAGGCTGATGCTGAGGCAGGCTGAGGCTGAGGCTGAGGCTGATGCAGGCTGAGGCTGAGGCAGGCTGAGGCTGAGGCCGAGGCTGAAGGCAGACTGAGGCTGAGGCTGAAGCAGGCTGAGGCTGAGGCTGAGGCAGGCTGAGGCTGAGGCTGAGGCAGGCTGATGCTGAGGCAGGCTGAGGCTGAGGCTGAGGCTGATGCAGGCCGAGGCTGAGGCAGGCTGAGGCTGAGGCCGAGGCTGAAGGCAGACTGATGCTGAGGCTGAAGCAGGCTGAGGCTGAGGCTGAGGCAGGCTGAGGCTGAGGCTGAGGCAGGCTGATGCTGAGGCAGGCTGAGGCTGAGGCTGAGGCTGATGCAGGCTGAGGCTGAGGCAGGCTGAGGCTGAGGCCGAGGCTGAAGGCAGACTGAGGCTGAGGCTGAAGCAGGCTGAGGCTGAGGCTGAGGCAGGCTGAGGCTGAGGCTGAGGCAGGTTGAGGCTGAGGCAGGCTGAGGCTGAGGCTGAGGCTGAGGCAGGCTGAGGCTGAGGCAGGCTGAGGCTGAGGCCGAGGCTGCAGGCAAACTCAGGCTGAGGCTGAAGCAGGCTGAGGCTGAGGCTGAGGCAGGCTGAGGCTGAGGCTGAGGCTGAGGCAGGCTGATGCTGAGGCAGGCTGTGGCTGAGGCTGAGGCTGATGCAGGCTGAGGGTGAGGCAGGCTGAGGCTGAGGCCGAGGCCGACGGCAGACTGAGGCTGAGGCTGAAGCAGGCTGAGGCTGAGGCAGAGGCAGGCTGAGGCTGAGGCTGAGGCAGGCTGATGCTGAGGCAGGCTGAGGCTGAGGCTGAGGCTGATGCAGGGTGAGGCTGAGGCAGGCTGAGGCCGAGGCTGAAGGCAGACTGATGTTGAGGCTGAAGCAGGCTGAGGGCGAGGCTGAGGCAGGCTGAGGCTGATGCAGGCTGAGGGTGAGGCTGAGGCAGGCTGAGGCCGAGGCTGAAGGCAGACTGATGTTGAGGCTGAAGCAGGCTGAGGGCGAGGCTGAGGCAGGCTGAGGCTGAGGCAGGCTGAGGCTGAGGCTGAGGCAGGCTGAGGCTGAGGCTGTGACTGCGACTGCTGTTGCCACTGCGACTGCCATCGCGAATGCGACCAGGACTGCGAGAACAGCAGAATTCTACAACAAGATTCTTATCTGAATCTTAAGGGGAATGCTTCCAGATATGCTCCTACACATCGCTGTTAGGTTGCTTTGCAGGGATAATTTTTTCTTACTATTTTTAATATGCTTCGTCCAAACATCTGCCTGTATGGGGACATGCCCGACCTAATGGGACATGCCCGACCTAAGGCTGAGGAGTATGAGTGTGAGTAGGTTTTGCTGTTTCCCCCGATCCAGATCTACTTCTAGTGTCTTCCTGCTTCCAGACTCGATGTGCTTTTGCTGCTGTGTGTTTTGTCATCCCGGGGGGCCCGAACCCAACCTGCTTCATCTGCCCTGCTACTTCATATGTTAGCCTACTTCTTCCGGCCGACGCGTATGACCATGTGACAATGTTAGTGAGGGAGGGGGCTGGGGACGAAGAGGAGGACGAGAAGGAGGACGAGGTACTATGGCTTCGGGTCGCCTGAGCTTCGTCAGTGGGCCCCGTTTTCTGGAGTCGCCACCCTGAAGGGCAGGGTGGCCCGATGGTGCGAATGGCCTGCGGCGGTGGTCCAGACCGTACTGAACGAGGTCGCTCCAGGCTAGGAACTTGCCAGAGTCGCAGGAGGGCCGCAAGAGGGTCCCAAGAGGGCCCCCCGGGCAGCCCCATGATGGCTCACAAGCCAAATCAGCATCGTACATCTTCATGCTGGAAGTTGCCAGAGCCGCAGGAAGGCCTCCAGATTGTCCCAAGAGGCCCAACGTCGGTCACAGCATGATCCACGAGGCAGACCAACAGCACAGAGTTTCCTCGTTGGGAAAATGCCACTTCTGGGTATTCAGGGCCTCGCAATCCACGGGGTGTGTTCACCCTGGTCTTTGTGACGAGCGATTGACGTGCTGGGCTTCTGGGTGTACGGCTTGATGTATTCACGGCTGCTGTCTGTAGCGCGCCAGTGCTTTCGCACTCGAGCTTGCTCTCGTTGCTGTCGTCGCCTGTGCCGAAGCGGGGCGCAGACTCCCATTTTTGCGCCACTGTCGTACCCATTGGACCACTAGTTCTGCATCTCCTAGGTGGCGGGAACAACCTAGTGCCCGATCAAAAGCAAGAGCACCACGTTCGAGATGTGTCGGAGGACAACGTCCACGATTATGGCCCTCCCCCCTGGGGAATGGGAGCTCGAGTCCTTTCTTTGCATGCGTTCTGGCTCGGATTTTGCCCATGAAGGGTGAAGATCCTGGCGCTGTTTGTCGTTCTCTTGATGCCACCCAGCGTGGGCATTTCGAACCCTCAGAGTATTGAGAGGTCTTTGCGCGGTTTCCTCTGGACGGGGCCCGTTGAGCCGCCTTAGTCTGGGTGCCCCAGCTCCTCCCTCTGACACTGGATGGCAGGACTCCCTTGGCGACTTGGGTTGGCCGCTCCCCCTATCCGGCATTCACCCACGTCTCCTCTTCCTCCTCTTCCTCCTCTTCCTCCTCTTCCTCCTCTTCCTCACCTCCTTCTGCGGCTTCCGCGTCTGATCCAGGAGTGGGCTGACTCTGGAGCGCAGCCTTCTACAGTCCGGTATGCGCCATGTTTTTCCACGGGGTGTGATTGCCTGCTCGTGATGCGTCGCGGTCGCCGCCTCCCCCTTCCTCCCTCTCGGCACGGTTGCGCTGTAAACAATGAGCGAAGGGAGGCATCATAAGATTCGAGCACCTGGGCCTGATGTGTTTCCAGCTCGTATCTGCCGTCGTCGTTACCCTCGTCTCCTCCATCTGTTTCACCATCCCGCGTCTCGATGCCTTCCCTCTCTTCCTGCTCCTCCACTCCTCCCCCCGTCCCTCAATTCCTTCCCTCTCGTCTCTCCCTTCACCTCCACCATTGCTTCTGTACATGGTCATCCCCTTGCTGTTGCTCCTCCGCCTGCTCCTTTTACCTCGCGCCCAGATGCTGTTCCAGACCGACGCCAATGGGGACGGCTTCATGGACTACTTCCGCAATGCCCTCACGAGCGGAACCTGGTCCTCGTCGGGCAGGACGCCCCATATCGGGCTCTCCCTGAACCTTTGTCCTCCTCAGTCCTCCTCATTCTTACCGTTTTCTTCCTCCTCCCTCCTTCATCTTCCCCTTCCCTCTGCGGTGGAAGGGGGGGGGGATACGAAGGAGGGGCATGAGGAGTAGGAGGAGGAGGAGGAGGAGGAGCAGGATCAGTATAAACCCAGACTCGTCAACGATGTTGGGATATACCTTCCCTCCAAGCTCCCTCTTCACAGGCCCCTACAAGGGTTCATTTCCACAGGGAACTGGCTTGTTGGTAGACAACCGTTCGAAGAGCCTGAAAGCGTACCAAAGCACATTTCTCGGGACTCCAACGCCACGAATCAACATGACACATGATTGCAGCGTCTTGGCTATCCTGAACCGCTCCAGAACACCACTCCTGGGATTTCGACACCACGACTCAATGTAATTGTTGCGCCCTGACAATCCGGAATGGTTCCTAAATGCCGTTTCTGGTACGTTAAGCATGGGAGCCCGCGAAATTCTGGCAATTGTTAAACACATGAATTCGCGCGGCGCTAAGGCCAGAGCCACATTTTGAAAAGGAGCAATCCTCAACCCGTGAAGCGATTGCAATGTTTGAAAACGAATGCGCGCGGCACTAAGGCGAGGGACACATGTTGAAAACGGCCCAGCCTCAATCCGTGAAGCTCTTGTAATCTTTTAAGACGAATGTGCGCGGTGCTGAGGCGAGAGCTACATTTTGAAAACCACCCTCCCTCAATCAGTAAAACTCTTGCAATGTTTAAGACGAGTGCGCGCGGTGCTAAGCTGAGAGCCACGTGTTGGAAGCGGCCGGCCTTCTATCTGTGGAACCGTTGACATGTTTGAAGCTGCAGGATCATACATGGGGAGGAAGTCTCAGGGATTTGAAGGAAGAGGAATGGAGACTTGGAATGAGGAGAAAGAGAGCGCGAAGGGGCGAAGGAAGCGGGGTGCACACGCGCCACATTTGCAACCTGACCCGTTTCACCCAGCCATTCCCATTTCTTTGAGCCGGTCTCCGTTCGCCCAGCAGGATGTCGAATCTGGCCCCGTGGCCTAGATGTTTTTGTTGCAGCGCTCGGCCAGACGCTTCCTGTGTCCAGTTGCCTGCTGCACACTCAGTCAGCGCGCCTGCAGATCATCGGCATACATGCCGGATAGCTGTACCGATGTCTGTGAACAGTCTCTCTGGGAAGCGGCCCTGCAGTGCTGCAGCACTGCGCAACTGGAACCTCTGCACGGTTGCTGCGCTGCGCCTTGCCAGATTACTTTAGTTTTCTTCGGGACGTTTTGGAGGCTTCTAAGAGTAATATGTGAGGCTCCTTTAACAGTCTACCGTCGTCGTCCTCCTCCAACTCCTCATCCTCCATCCTTGCTCCTTGTGAATAACTCTTCCCTGTCGCACCCCGATGCGTGTTGGTAGGGCGAGCTGGGAGGTTCGCCTGAGAGTTCCTCACCATGTATGACCCTTAACCTTAGAAGTTGCAACGGCTTCATGGATAGAGTGCCGCTTGTTTTCAGGGTGTGGTTCTCGCTGTCGCCCCGCGAACATTTTTAGTCCGCAGGTGTAAGAGGATCAGACGCCTGCCAAGTGACGGGAGGGGCACTTCGGAGTCGAATTGGGTACTAAACAGGTGCGGAAGAGGAGGAAGGCGAATATAAAGCGGAGTCCACGTTTACAACGTGTATTTCTGGCACGCGGGTGCCGGAGGTGCACAGTGAAATGGGGAACCAAGTCCACGAAGAGCAAGTACTCGAAGTGCGAGGCGGCAGGATGGCGAAACTGTCCATGGAGCCGTAGGGGATCCCGACAAGGGTGAGGGAATGAACAACGCCGTGGAACAACTCGAAGCCAATCCCGTGTGAGCTTCCCCCTAGGAACCCATCCAGGTAGGCTGAGGAGACGAGCAATCGTTGGAACCCTGAAGCGCGAAACCAGGCGGGTATTGGGCGGTGGCCGAAGACCAGGTAAGCGTACCGCGAAGGCGTGCGACCAGGCCATGGCACACCAAGAGAGTGTCGTCGACCCTGCCGCACCCAGCCGCGCAGCGCCGCAGGCAGTACCCAGGCTGCGGCCAGAAAAATGGCCGGCCGCCGACGCCGTGGCGGCGCCGGCGGGGGTTGGAGGGGGGATCTTGGACTGCGCATCTGATTCGCCTGGGGTTTGGGGCTTCGTTGCGAGGAAAAAAAATCTGATTCGCCTGGCGACGGTCAGAGAAAGGCGGCGCTGCAGCTAGCAGATTTAAGAGTAAGTTTAACATATCTGCACGGGCACCACGTAAACAAGCACAGTAGGGAGGAGGGGGCTGGTTAGAGGGGGGGGGGAGAGGGGAGGGGAAGGGAGGGGGGGAGGAGAGGCGGAGAGGAGGGAGGGGAGAGGAGAGGGGAGGGGGGGAGGGGAGGGGAGAGGAGGAGAGGGGAGAGGGGGGAGGGAGGGGAGGGAGGGAGGGGAGGGGGGAGGGAGGGGAGAGGAGAGGGGAGGGAGAGAGGGGAGAGAGGGGAGGGAGGGAAGCAGAGGCAGGCAGGAGAGGCGGGCGAGGGCCCGGCGAGGCGCACCCGGTGGGCAAAAGTGAGCCCGACCGGCGTGGAATCCGATCGCAGAGAGACGACCGGGTAACCAGGGAGGAGAGACATCCAGGCAGACCGCCTGGAGAGGAGGAGGAGGAGGAGGAGGAGGAGGAGGAGGAGGAGGAGGAGGAGGAGGGGCAGGAGGCGGAGGAGGAGGCGGAGGGGAAGGGGGAGGAGGAGGAGGAGGAGGAGGAGGAGCAGGAGGAGGACCATGCATGCAAGAGACAACATGGCGGAGGCCGTGGCGGCGGGAGCAAAGCGACCCCGGTAGCAGGTCCAGGTGCGGAGCGGACGCGAACAGGGCCCACGGGCCCTAGCGGGGGCCAGCGCTGCGCCTTCAGAGGACGGGGCGGCGCGGGCGCGGCTGGGGCCAGAGGGACTGGGCGCGCCGTGTTCGGCAGAACTCCTGTTGGCGCCTTATCGGCGCGCGCGCGGCGAAGTGAGATCGGTTTCCCTCTATTGTTGGGAGGGCTGGATCATGTTTTGGGGTTGCTGCTCCAGCGGAGTAGTCCATTGTGGGCTACCCTGCTCGCGGGAGGATTTGTCAGCATATTCTCCTGAGGACTGCAATGGGAGTTGCTTCGTTTTGATGTGCGAGTGTGCTCAAAGTCGTTTGCCTAGCACTGCGGGCAGAACTCCTGCTGGCGCCTGGTCGGCGCGCGCGGCGACGTGGGATTAGTTTTCCTCTATTGTTGGGCGGGCTTGGTAATTTCGGGGGCTACGTCTCCAGCGGAATAATCCATTGTGGGCTGCCATGCGCGCGGGAGGATGTGTAAACATCTTCTCATCAGGGTTGCAGTGTGACTTGCTTCGTTTTGCGTTTTGATTCGCGATGTGCCTAAAGTCGTTTGCCTAGCACTGCGGTTCGAACTCCTGCTGGCGCTCGGTCGGCGCGCGTGGCCAACATGGCGACTTTCCCAGTGTGGACACGATGCAGAATGCGCCATCGTCTTGTCCAGTCCACGCGACAGAGGATGGACTCTCCGAGGGCCCGCGCGGGGCCTGAGCCTCCGCAGTCCTCCCCGGGATGGAGATGCCAGGACAACTCTTCGGAGTGCCGGGTGTCTGAACCGAGACTGCCCATGAGAGCGCTGCCAGCGGGCGCCGCGGGGACACCCGGATGAGTCCCCCCCCTTGCGCGTGGGACACGAGGCGCGGAGAGCCCCCGCCGGCCCCCTCCGAAGCCCTGCCCGCGAGAGCCGACGGGAAGCGGGAAGCAGAGACGCATATATCATCCTCCCCCTCCTCCTCCTCCTCCTCCTCCTCCTCCTCCTCCTCCTCCACCTCCTCCCCCCCCCCATCCCATCTGGGGGAGTGGGGTGCCCGAGGACCCTGGGACCCATCCCATCTGGAGGGGGGGCCCGAGGACCCTGAGCCCGCGATCATATATGGTCATATATTGAAGCAGAGCGGTGAAAAAGAGGAGGGGGAGGAGCGTGTTGAGCCATGGTTGTGTTGGAGCATCGGAGGCCTTCTTGGAGCCGGGGTCCTCTTGAGGCTCTTCATGGGGCATCCTGGGGCCCTTGTGGAACTCTTTGCGGGGGGTCTTGGGGTCCTCTTGGGGCTCTTTTGGAGTGTCTTGGGGCCCTCTTGGGGCTCTCTTGGGGCTCTCTTGGGTTTTGTTTTGTGAGCTTCGGAGGTCCTCCTAGGGCCATTGCGGAGGCCGTCGATCAAAGGGGATGGATCCCTTATCTAGGACCCCCCCTCGAAGAGCCATCAAAATCGCCTCTGGGGGCCCTCTTGGGGCGATCTTGGGTGCCCTTGGGGCCGTTGTGGCGGCCTTTTGGGCCCCTCATGGGGCTTTCTCGGGCCATCTTGGGGCCATCGCGAGGCTCCAAAAGCGCATCGGAAGCGAAGAGGCGAGAAGGCCAACATCATAGATGTTCTGTAGTGTTTGACAGTATTTTGGCTTCTCGGGGAGGTCCTGAAGGGTGTCCAAACGCACTTGGGCCCGTCTTGTGGCCCTCTTGGGGCCTCCTGGAGGCATGCTGTTAGCTATATTGAGCCATGTTGGGCTATCTTGAGCGATCTTGGAGGCCATCTTGGGCACTCTGGAGCCCTCGCGGCGTCATCCCGGGCCGAACAGGACCCGCCGACCCCCCCCCAGTCCAGGTCCAGGGGAGGGGGCAGGGGGAGGGGTCAAGCTGCCCACCCGCCCGCAAGCCGTCCAGCTCACGCCCACCCGCCCTCCCAACACAGGTAACACCCGAGCCTGGGCATGTTCAGCGGTCGTCTTTGGATGGGCAGCTCCTGGGAACCAAAACCGACCCCATGTGCGCAACGCTTGGGCCTGAGCGTGCCAGGCACGTCTGGTGCACCAGATGCGCCACGTGTTCCACGTGCGCCAGCTGTGCTGCATATTCTGGCCGCGCCAGGTTCGCCACGTTCGAGGCACGTGCAGTGTGTCAGGTGCGCCTGCGCA